AGATAGATAGATAGATAGATAGATAGATAGATAGATAGATAGATAGAATAATACTACTTACTACTACTTTCTTACTTTAATACCACCTTAATACTATAGTAAACATATTATAGTATGTAAATATAATACTATTCATTTACTTTAGTTTTCTATGTGGGTACTTTAGTAGTTTTGTTGTTGTTGTTGGCCTCTTTATGGGTGCAGAACTTCAGTAGTTTGAGTTTTTGTACATAAATTTGAAACTCTTTTATCTGTGTCTCTCTTGTTGGTATATGTGGACACTAACATGATGCAACAGCACAATGATCCTATACACAAAGTTTACAACAGAACGAACGAAAAAGAAAGTGAAGGTGTTGCAATTAAATAAAGCAACAATAAAACGTGCACTCTGCTGTTAATGTGCAATCTTTCAATGCCAGCTTTCCTAATAGTTTACAAAAACAACTCTGAAAAAGTTTGCTGACTGTTTCAAAGTGAACCGACATGACCGTCCGTCCCACATCAACAAAACCAAAAACACAAATGTTTTGTCCGTATGCTTACAGTTTATAAAGCATTCATTTTACTGCAACACTAAAAAATCTAAACGTATACTGCAGTTTATGACAGTACATGTCACGGGGTGGACTTAAGATATCTGCAGACTTCAGGGGTGGTGTGTGGTCACACGAATGCTCTAAACCTGTAACGCAAGTCGACGTGTAATCACAGCTCAGAGCCTGTTTGTTGCTGTGGACTGAGCCGTGCAATCAGGGGCCTTTTGTGGCCTCTAAGTGCAAATGCCAGCCTGTTGATGTGCAATCAGTCTTTACTGTGTACAAGAGGGCCTCTCTGTATGATGACGAGCACTTACTGCCATCTCGCTGGCTGAGTGAAATTCTATGCCTCCTTTGGTATCTGTCTTGTATATAATCAACAGGCGCGAGCGGCGAGCGCTCGGCTCAGCACTCCATCTGAAAACAGACTGCTTTCAAGATTCTGGCTTTGGCCTTTCATCATCTGTGGCCTCTGAAAGAAATGACCCAGGCAGAGTTGTTGAACTGTGAAAAGTCTGCAGACTCATTGTTAGACTGGTGAACTTCCAGCCACATCAATCATTCACAGGCAGCAGCTGATGCACCTTTTCCTATCTTGTTTGGACTGTATGCCCACGTGTCCACTCCTTCCTGTACACCCATCATTTTCAAACAATTTTTAATAAATTGTGAATTTCAGACTTGTGCCTGATGCATCTCAGGCCAGAGCTTTTCCTTCATCTTCTCCTACTCTAATCTCCCCCTTACCTCCAAGGTGTTTGAAAAGAGGGAGCTTGACACTCAGGCTATCAATTACCTGCTCCATCTCCAGTCCAAAAGCCCAAACCTCCAACACAACAAAGGCTCCGAATACTAAATTTCTCAACAGAGAGGCGGTTGAGCTCAGAAGAAAGACTCTTTAAAAGGCAGGCTACAGCTTATCTCTTTCATGCTTGTTTATGTTCCACAGGGCATGTCTGCCCTGAGTGGCTCTCTACACCATTAAACTTACTTATGTCCCTCAATTTGGAAAAAACAAGTTCCATAGATACCAGACAGAATCCATAAAGTTAAACTGACAGGAAAAAAGTACAGATGGTTGTGAATAAATATAAACTGACTGAGAAATGTAATTATGGAAAAACGTTTTTGTTCTGTTTTAGATGGCTCAGTAATAAAGAAATACTGTAGAGTTTAAATTGACGATTTGATGAACAGCTAGTCCAGACGCCAGTAGACCAAAGTGAATTGCTGAAGCAACTCCCGTCTCAAACATTTCAGAGCAGTTTATGTGTTTTAAATCTTTTCACAGTGTCGGTTTCACAATACATAATTAT